GGTTTCCTTTTTATCTCCTTTTGACTCACTTTTCCTTTGCTCACTATTTTTTATTATTTTTATTACTTTTTTGTGTGCTTTGGAAAACATTGCTTACTCAAAGAATGTAGATAACTGATAGATTAGATCAGGGGTCCCCAACCGCCGGTCCGCGGACCGGTACCGGGCCGCGGAACAAGCCTTACCGGGCCGCTGGTTGCTGGGCGCCGCCATCTTTTTATGACGAAACAGCGCTTCCGGTGACGTCACCGGAAGCGCCTTTTCGTCATAAAAAGATGGCGGCGCCCAGTTGACGCCGGTACCGGGCCGCGGCGCCCAGCTGATGTCGGAACCGGGCCGCGGCGTCGAAAAGGTTGGGGATCCCTGGATTAGATAGATATAGATAGATAGATAGATAGATAGATAGATAGATAGATAGATAGATAGATAGATAGATAGATATGAGAGAGAGAGAGAGAGAGAGAGAGAGAGAGAGAGAGAGAGAGAGGTGTAAAAATACTGGAAGGCCCATAGTTCTGAGCAGAGAGAAATATCTGCATGAATGAAAAGACATAATATCAGAGAAGAAGAACAACAGAGGATCTTTGATCATCCAAACCAGTAGAGATGCATTTTTAATATATCAATGGTAGTTCAGTTGCATAAGGCATGCCCAGTGATCTATGAATGAAAGGACAAACCAGCCCAATCCATATTTCAGTCTCACCCAATGTAGTCTTTTGGCACTAGATCCCTAGTGCTAGTACTTAGTGCCCATGGCAGCAATTAGAACAGAAAATAGATTTCTCAATGTGAACTGAGTGCCCCAAATGAAAATTTTAAAGTAAAAATAATAGAACTGTTTGCATTGTTAAAGAGTTGCCTTATCAGGGAGATGGGTGGCATATCAATAAATAAATAAAAATAATGAACTTTAAAAATGAAGGAAGGCACAGGAACAAATGACTCACTCATTCCTACCTCCATTTGAAACCTGTTTCAAATAGAGGTATCTAAACTAAGACCACAGTCAGATAATGTACCAACATATAGCATAGCTTAACTACCTGCTATGTAAAAGTAGCATTTTTTGTCTCCTGCTATGTTTTAAAGTAATGTTTTCACAAATCTGTACAACATTTTTCTTTGAAATGACCCTGTGTCATTATTTTGAAGGACAGCATAGTGCATTTTTATATTATAACATATAGACACGGAGAGACACACATGTACCCATGTATTAAAATGGTAAAATTACCTTTCTTTGGTCATTTCCTGCAAGACCACTGTTATTCCAAAACTCTTTCCAATGAGAGATGAAAACTCTTTCCAATGAGATTCAAATGAAAAAAGATCACTGAAGAATTCTGTGATAGAAATTCCAGCCCTAGTTGATATTAACCAATGCCTCCTGTATGGCTAAGCAAATTATGTCACAATAAACGAACTCAGTTCACAAAGGGCTTTCTTGGATTTTTGGAGGCATTTGTCATCGCTCAGAGTGCAGATGTCAGCTTTGGAAGCCATATTGAGATTCAATGCTCCCATGCTGCTACAAGCCTGAGAAAGTGGGAGGGGGGATTCAATTGAGTAGCTCTAAGTAGACAAAATAAAATTCTTTTGTTAGTTCAAGGTCACTGAGTATGGCGCAGAATGAAATCAGGATCTTACTTTAGGACGGATTGTGATTGGACCATGTGATGTGATGATGGCCAAGGGGGGATGGATTTGTAGTTTTGAATATATACTTTCAGATTCAGGATTCCACAGATGTTCCAGTTTACTATCCAAATAAAGGTACCTTTGTCTGTCTCAGAGTTATTGATTGGAATGGAGGTTTGCTGGAACACTAACAGCAGAAATGTTTAAAGGCGGAATAGAACAGAACAGAGCAGAGCAGAGCAGAGCAGAACAATAAAATAAAATAAGAGTTGGAAGGGACCTTGGAGGTCTTCTAATCCAACCCCCTGCTTAGGCAGGAAACCCTACACCACTTCAGACAAATAGTTGTCCAATCTCTTCTTAAAAACTTCCAGTATTGGAGCATTTACAACTTCTGGAGGCAAGTTGTTCCCCTGATTAATTGCTCTAACTGTCAGGAAATTTCTCCTTAGTTCTAAGTTGCTTCTCTCCTTGATTAGTTTCCACCCATTGCTTCTTGTCCTGCCTTCAGGTGCTTTAGAAGATGAGAAACTTAATTCTAATGTAGAGCACAATTAAGACCTATTGTCAGAATCTACTAATTGTCTTTCCCCCTTACATTTCCAGTGTTTTAAAGTACCATTCGGTGAGCTTTCTTAGTTACTGGCAGCTTGTTTAAGCAGATGTTGAGCTGAAGTTGTAAGTGCCTGTCTGGGGCTGGTGGAAATGACCCAACCTCATTTACTTCTGGCATTCCTTCAGATATTTGATCCTCCTTGTTTAGAACAAACAGCTACCGCTTAGCTTCTTGGCTGTTAAAAACCTGCCTTAATAGTTGCCATATGCTTGAGATCAATAGAGAAAAGTGAAGCCCTTGCTATTCCTTGGCTTTAATGAAAGCAGCAAATTAATCATTTTGGAGAATCAGCACTCCGGGATACATTAAGCCCCCTTTGTCCTTATGCATGTTTTTCTGCAATCTTTAGACACAACAATAACAACAAAAATGAAATCCAGACAATGCATTTCATTGAACTCTCTAAATAGTGATATTGCTCTCATTTTTCTCCTGAACACAGGTTATGTTTTGTAGTAGAATGAATGTGACTTTTGGGGATGCCCCAGTAATCTAGCTTCTTTCCTTCCTCCTTCCCTCCCTCCCTCCCTTCCCATCTTAGTGGGAAGTGTAGGAATGGTGAAATGATTTTTTCTGCTTTTTGGAACAGGGATAAGAATGATTTTCCAAGGCAGGGATTTTAGTGATACTCTTGGATTGAGAAGATGCATTTTATATATCTATCTAAGTATATGGTTTATAGCTTGACTCAGTAGGTGGATCCAGCCAGTTGTGATTTATGAAAGACAGAGCACAAAGTTGGACAAGGTGTGGTCTTTCTTATGTAGTTGAGCCTCAACTCCAAGCTTCCCACGTTATTATCCATTGTACATTAAATTGTCAGGATTTGAAAATCAACACCATAATGTCACTTCCTAGGTTAGTTGAAAGCAATGTGAACAATGGTTAATTCCAACATCTGCCCAGGTGATGAGACAGAGAAGATTTTTTTCTAGGGCGCTTCCTGGAGATGCTATAGCTGCCTTGCATGCAAAAGATCGATGTTGCATTTTTGAGCCTTGATATTTTCCCCAAAGGAAAATAAAATAGTAGATTAAATTTGAAGATCCTCTCCTCCCAATACATTTTTTAGAATACATCCCAAACAATTGGTGCTCTGGGATGAGACTTCCTGCTTGATGCTCTGACAACAGTTTTATCACCTGAATGGCTTGTCAAAGACAGTAGCTTAAAAAAAAGCGGGGGGGGGGGGGGGGGGAATGCGAGCCTCTATCGAGCTGTGTTCTTCAAACAGCTTCATTTACCCACATTCAGTTGGGCAGAAAGACATAAACAGATACTCTGATTAATTGCTGTGAATGGATATGATAGCACTCATGGAAACAATAATGTAATTAATTAACAACAATTTAATTGTTAAACATTTAATCTTTAATGTGGCATGTTCACAAAATTTGAAAACTTTTTGCCATTACTTTGACTGTAGTAAGTTGAATCAAAATTGGTTTGATTGCATACGTCCTAGTTAAACGAGGGAAACACTGAAAACTGAACTTTAATCTTGTAGCCATCAAATTTCTGTTCCAGAGATTTCATCCACCCACCTGTAATTTTTAAGAAATTACAAGTCTTACAAAAAGTCTTATAAATATGAGGTACTTATTGATGCACTGCCTTCTAAAACTGCAGCAGGACAAGTTGTTGCCAAGGAAATGAATTTTAACCAAAAACAAGCCTGATTGTATTTACAACATAACAACTGTATGTTAATAACTGTTGCTGTTTTGAAGTGTGAAACAGTAGACTCTCTGTAGCTACAAGTCCTGCATTTTTAACTTATAAATGTTGTATCATTTATGTCCATTCCAGTTGGCTCAGAATTTTACTGGTACCGGATTTAGTTCTCCTAGTTTGTTAGGCTCCCAAACCAAGAAAGACATGAGTGATTCTTTCAAACTGAATTCTTCATTGGTTGACACCTATAGACAGATTCTTGCCAGACTAAACAGTCTATTATTTGCATCTGCCGTATACTCTGAGAACTATTAGGGAGGAGCTTTCTTCACCTTCTTTCTCCCACACAAGATATCTCAACTGAGTTATCCTTATCCTTATTTGTCTGGAATACACCCCCTATCTCCTAGGAATCTCCTAGGAATCCAGCCTGCTGCATTCTATCACATCATATGGAATCGGAAGTTCCTGCCTTCTGTAAAGTAAACAGAGTAAAGTTTGGTCCTTTAAAAGAAAATCTATTAACCATAGTAGGTCAGTACATTTATCAAGACTGAACAGAGCAAAGAAGAGCAGAGCTCTTCATCAGACAAGATAAAATAAAGAGCTGGGAAGAATCCAAAAACTCAGCTAGGTGTTTCAATGATAAACTCTCCATTGAGATTTTGGAGATTATATGCTAAATGTAGACTAAATCAGAGGTAGTGGTTGTCATTATATGATTACAACTGATTTACATGGTCAATGAATAAAAATTAAGGTTATCCTGAGAGACAGTTCCCATTTATCTTCTAACATTCCAACATATCGAAGTATTGCAACTAGGATATATAAATATTTACAGTTATCAAAATCTTCAGTTATCAAAAGATGTTGTTTGTGATGTTTAATTGCTGAGATACGTCCCAAAATAATTGAACTTCAAGTGTCCTAGAATCAGTGAGACAAATTGCATAGACCTAATTTTAAATACTGGATAGGTGTGGAGAGATGTTTATGAGTGTATATTTGTCATAGAATCATTGTCGTACAAGTCATGGGGAAGTATGTTTTTGTATGTTTTTCATAGATTTATCAGAGATGTTGGCTAGTCTTCAAGAAAGCATCCAGCAAAGGGCCCAGAAGAATGGAGAAATTTTCAGATGAGCGTGCTGCATACTTCAGATGTTATCACAAGGTAAGAAGAGTTAAAGAGTTGGATAAGATGCTTCTCCCTCAGTTTCATGCTGTGATGAAAATCTTATGCAAATTATTTAAATTGGTCTTTTGTGCCAAATCATCTAAAGACATACAGTGTTTACTGACATTTAAAGAGAATTAAAGTTGGGATTGATCTGATTTTATTACCACTTAATCTAGGGATGTCTCTCTGGAGACAAAGGAAATCATTGGTATTTGTATTCCTTGCCCCAGCTTAATCATATTACCTATACCTATATATATATAACTAGAGTCATTTGGTAGAATTAGATGTTACAGAAATTTGATAAATAAAGGTTAAAAAATATTATGGCATACAAGCTTAATAGTCTTCAGCCCTTCTAGTTAAATGTTAATATAATCAATGTACTAAAGACTGCCCCTACCTTCAAAAAAGATATGAAAATCTGTTGGAGTTCAATACATATTCCATGGTTTGTCAAATGATAGATGTTATAATGTTAACACCTTGCAGTTTCTTTATTATTGAAGGAATTTATAACAAAATATTTAATAGTCTTGCTTCAGATTTTGGGATGTTGGAATGGTGGTATGAATTTATTTGGGAAAGTGGATGATAACATGCCTAGTACATTTGATCCAGCTTTTTGAATTCATTGTGTATTTTTGGTTCATTTGTGGTATTTTTAGTTCATTCCATTTATAAGGCCACTCATCTTACTATGATGACTCTGGATGGCTGACAATAGTTGCAATATAATGTAACAAAAATTGAATACACGAATATATAATTGGTGGTTAAGATAAAACAAACATCCATCAACATAGCCATATCCTGGGCTCCAATTGATGCTCTAACCCATATGCCTGGGAACACAGCTCTGCAATATACTACAAATAATTTCATTGCGTGTTAATAGCATAGCATAGCATAGCATAGCATAGCATAGCATAGAATAGAATAGAATTCTTTACTGGCCAAGTATGATTGGACACACAAGGAATTTTTCTTGGTGCAAATGCTTTCAGTGTACATAAAAGAAAAGATATATTCATCAAGAGTCAAGAATCCTCAGGTACAACACTTAATAATAGTCATAGGGTACAATAAGCAATCAAATCATACTAGTCAATATAAATTGTTAGGATACAAGCAACAAAGTTACAGTCATACAGTAACAAGTAGGAGGGGATGGGTGATAAGGAGTGATGAGAAGATTAATAATTAAGGTGTGTTTGGCATATTTTATTGTACTTCTTATATAGAGAGAGCTATCTTCTTAAGTGACCCACCAGATGTGTTCTTCCAGTTGTTACATTTTCCAGCCAAATTACTTATTGACTTTGCTCAGTGAGCATTCTTGGACTTATAGTCCAAATATGAGCAGAAGCGTTAAGGAATTCTACTACAGCGATTAGTTGAATTTTGAGATTTTGGTAGTTATAGTCAAGTTTGGATGAGACTTTGGCTTCAGATTGTTATTGTTATTGCTTAGCCTACTATATGATTTTGAAACAGAGTTCTCATCCTTTCTTTTAATCACCACATATCTAAGAGAAAATGGATCATTTTTAGCATTTTTAATCAGCTGCATAAATCTCCAAGGCTCAGATAAGGTATAATAAAAGAATACAAGGCCTACTCTGAGAACATGTGAACTTTCAGAATTGTATTGTCCAATACTTTCTGGAATAAAATTGCTAGATAGAACCTGGTTAAATAAATCTTCCTGACCATTATATCTCCATCTTCCTTGAGCAAGGATTGTCCTCTCTGGGAGCCAAAGAAACAAACCTTTTAGGTGCTGTCCTCTTCTTCAGGTACAACTGTTCATATGGCCCGTTCATGACAGACTTTCAGAAAGTCTCTAATGATTTTGTTCCAGCTCAGGATCTGGGTTGTTGTGACTATTCTGCTTGATCAGGAGTTTGCCTTTTGGTTTTCAGTGCTTGGATTCCTGCTATTATATATGGTAATTTATGATTTTCAGTTTTCATTTTCATTATGTTCATGATATTTACCTTGCCTATTTGTGTTATCGTTTTTAACCAATGTTATGAATTTCAGAATGTGTACAACACCCAGTTAAACTGGAATGGCTTATTAGCATTGCAAATTAATAATGATCTCCCTCTCTCTGTCTGAACGTCTCTGTCTCTGTCTGTCTGTCTGTCTGTCTGTTTCTCTCTCTCTCTCTCTCTCTCTGTGTGTGTGTGTGTGTGTGTGTGTGTGTGTGTAGGATCACATACTCTGTCGGGAAAATATATGTGTAATTCCATGCTGCGCTATGATAACTATACTAGACCTTTACTTATTTTTTAAGCTTTGGCAGTGCAGCTTATTATATTAGAAAAATGGGATTTAGGTGTGGCGTTTAGGAGCCTTGGAGCAAAAAAAGATAAGCTTCTGGTAGCTGATCCATTTTTGTTTGACTTGACAAAACATTTAAGAAATAAAAATCATGTGCAAATTGCATTTGAATCTTTTTAAATTCCCTTAAATTTTCCCCATCTGTCTACATTTGCCTGATGCATAATGTGTATAGTATTGATTATTAAAACTATGTGCCATGCTTAGAATCTGAAGAAATAAAAACTTACGGATTTTCAAAACCAAAAATCATTGGGGGGGGGGGGACAGAGAAAAGGCCAAGGACCTATCAGTTCTTATCAGTTCTTCTCAATTTGACTAACATCTGTACACTGTTGCATACAGACCCAGTGGTCTGGTCTTTGTTAATTTTCATCATTAAATGTGCCATTTTATATGGAAGAATTTGTGATGTGAAATGCCTCTGCTGGTTACTCCAATTCTTTGTTCCTCTGTACTATGAAAAATATTGAATATGCTGGTTCTTTTCTTTCATGTGTTATGCACCTGCACTTGCTTTGCTGAGGACAAAAATAAAGATGAATTTTAAATCTGATCAATCAATCCTCTTCATTTGTTGGTCTATAGAAATTGGGGAGATCCATCTTTACAGCAATAAAATTTTAGGTTGGCACAGAAAGTATGTAGTTTGAAATAACATTGAGTAGACCAATTGTTGAAGCAAATCTTGAATTTTTTTCTCTTTCTCATTCACATTATTAATACAAAATGTTATTAATACATTAATATTAATACTAAATGTAAGTGGTACTGAATGATGAGGGAATTAGAGCCTGAATATAGTATCCTGAATTAAGTAATAATTAATCCTTTTCTTCTCTTCTCTCAAAAGGTGATTTTATTTCTTGCTATGCATAACTTCCCAAAATAAATTCTGTCCTGCTCAGAAAGAAAAAAAGTTTCTGAACTCAGAGTTATTAGCCACCAAAAAACCCTGTTGCTATGATTGCTTTATATTCTGAGGATAAATTTAATCTAAGAATGTCTGTCTAGGGCAGGGGTGGGCAAACATTTTGGCTCGGGGGCCGCATTGACTTTTAAAATTTGACAGACGGGCCGGGTCAGCACAAGATTTTTTGGGAATCGCCCCCCCCCCTTCCCACCCTTCTCCTCCTTCCCCTCCCCTCGGAGGCCCCCTGAGTCAGGAGTTGCTACCGCCGGCGCGGCTCCGCGCGGCTCCAGTCCCGCGTTGCCTCGGGAAGGGAAAGGCAAAAAGGAAGAGCCGCGGCGGTGCTTTGCAATGGGAGCAGCGGCACCGGAGGCTCAGGCTCAGCGGCTCCTGGTTTTGCCTTTTCCTTCCCAAGGCAACGCGGGACTGGAGCCGCACGGAGCTGCGCCGGCGGTAGCAACTCCTCACAGCCCCAGCCAGACACCTGAGCGGAGCCCGGGCGAACCTGCCTGTTGCTGCTGCCGGAGCACCGCCGGGTCGCCTCCTCCAAGCAGCTCGCCCGCCCGCCGGGCTTCCCCTCTGCCGCGCGGCTCGGGGCCAGGCGTGAGCGCCCGCGAGTTAAAAGGAAGCCGAAAGTTGCTGGGAAGTTGCTCAGGTGCTGGGAGCAGGCTTTTAAAGTGCCGCCCGAGCAAAGTTTAAGCAGCCCGCCCGCCCGCCGGGCGGAACCCTTCCCACTCCTCGGCGGGAAGACGCTCCAGCCTGCAAACTTTGCCTTTGCAAAGTTTAAGCCTGGAAGCCCCGGAAAAAAAAGGGGGATCGGCGGGGACTCACCTTCGTAGAGGTCGCACTCGAAGGTGATTTCGAACTCCCAGCCGAGGCCTTTGCAAATTTCTTTTCTTTCCTACCCCTAGATTGCTCCGCACTGTTTTGCAGCTTTGGGGGCCACGCGGCACAGGGCAATACGCCACACCCAGCGATTTTTTTTCAGGGGCGGGCCGGATTGGACAGACCAATGGCAGTGATTTTTTTTCAGGGGCGGGCCGCATTGGACAGACCAACGGGCCGGATGTGGCCCCCGGGCCGTAGTTTGCCCACCCCTGGTCTAGGGTATATCACAATATTTCAATGAGAATTAATAAAGCTTTAATCTTAACTTTATTAATTTACATTTTTCCTGTGGTCTGGATTTCTGTTGTCTAATACCTGTTGTTATTATTAAGTCTGTTTCTATATTTTGAAATGTTATATTGGGAATTTAATCCAGAAGAAAGCTCAGGAGAACCACTTTTGTATAATGGCAAGATATTCCTAGGTATATCTTATATGTCACTAGGAATTGAGCTTGAATTGGAGGTGACTTCATTTTTCTCCCTTTTAACTTGCAATTTAGACTGGTTTTGAAATATTTTGTTAAGTCAGAATAAATACACATCAATTACCATCAATAACTCAACAGTTTGAGATCTACTGCAGGGTAATGATGGGTGGTGAAAATTGGGGTTGCCATTACTGACAAGACCTAATTATATAATGTTTCTTATGGTCAGATTTAGAATGATAAAGCTTGAACAGCCATTACTGAAGTTATTGAACTTGCTGTTATGTTCCAATAAGCATCACAGATTGAAGTTTGTTTTAATTTTGCAGAGCCAGATCTGATAATTTTGTTCTTATCACCTTAATGATTTATTGCAGTTGTTCAGCTGACTTATGCTTATATCCTTTGGTGATGTTG